AGATGGAGCCACAGGGCAGGGCCAGGCAGAGCTGAGGTCTCCCCGCCCCACAGTCAGGCCGGGTGGGAGGGCCCTGCTGCTGCCCACCACTGCAGGGAGGTGGTGTAGGCCAGCAAGAGGAAGGAGGGTCCAGCCACAGTCCTGGGGACCCTGCGCACAGCAGCTCAGAGGCTGGCAATGGCTTCACCACATTCTCAGCAACTCTTCAAAGACGGAATGACCGCTGCTCCAAGCTGTCTCCACTTGTCTCAGAACACACGATATCAAATGGCCCCTTGAACAAAGGCAGTGTGTCCACCATGGTCCTGACGCAGACAGGCCACCCCGGAGGGCTCCTGGGCTCAGGGGAGCACTGCTCCTGAGGCCTTCGGTGGCAAGGGGCGTCTATCTCACTGTGCTGTGCGCTGTTAGCCAGAGGGGCATGCTGCTTTTCAGCTGAAAACTGTAAGCCGCGATGTCCCACATTCTGCCTCGGCTAGGGAATAACTAGCTGAGCGGCCTGCAGCCCCTGCCTCTAGACACACAGTGAGCAGGAAGGGTCTCGTCACCCAGGCCACGGCCCTGCCAGCCACAGCCGTTCCCCACAGGCAGGGCAGCCAAGGGCATGGGGTCCAGGCACCACTGCGGAGCTCCGAGCAGACCCACCTTCCACTCCCCTGCCAGGAAGCCCAGCCGTCTCGTGTGAACACCACACTGTGAGAACCACAGGTTTCGGGGCCGTGTCACACAAGTCGTACCAGCAAGCAGAGAGGACAGCCTGGAGGCTCTCGAAACCCCCAGGAGGGGTGGGGCCCAGAGGCAGAGCCCGGCTGCTGGCCCCAGGGGGCGTGTGGGAGGTGCCACCAGAGAGCACAGAGCCGGGAGCCACCTGAGTCTGAGCCAGGCCAGCTCCAGAGTGGCAGGCACTGCCGTCCCCCATCGCGCTCCCGCCCCAGAGGCCGCTACTCCCTCCCGACGTGGCTGTGCCGAGTCGCAGCCCTTGCCTCGGCCTCCTGGCTGGCACCACAGGCACGCGCCGCCTCACCCAGGAACTTCAGGCAGGGTCACGACCAGCCCTGAGCTCATGCTCCTCCGGCCCGACCCAGCTCATGGGGTCTATACCCAACGCCTTTCCCAGCCTTCACGCTAGACCAGGGCCTGCACTCGCCTCCCCCATGGTCCCAGCCTGTGGCGCACAGAACCCTTTTTCTACGGTTTTGCCATAGGGGTGTGTGCTCACTGGAGAGAGAGAGAGACAGTGAGAGGGAAGAGAGAAGTCACCCCCTGGAGGACAGCCACGCTGCAATCCCTTCTCCTCCACTCTCCCTCTGGGATTTTGGGCACGCACGCCCATACACCCAACGTGAGTTTCAAGCTGCCAGGTCCAGGGTTCAGCTGCGGTCAGCCACACGGGAGGCTGGTGCACCCCCCAGAGCCCTGCACGTACCGGGAGTGCCTACAGCCGCAGACAGACAGGTGGCCCAAGGGAACAACCGAAAAAGGCTCTAACCATGAGCTCTATGGACGGTGTGCAAACAGCCAACACAGAGATGCTGGCGTCCGTCCCTGGTCGGGTGCCCCAGCACCACAGCGAGGCCCCACTCACACCCACCAGCACGGTATGGTCAGAGAAGTGAACAGCACGCCCAGCACTTTGTGTGGGCAGTCAGAGCCGTCAGGTCCCAGGCAAGGGTGTGAAGACAGCACGGCCTGAGCCAGCTCGCGGCCTGGGGACTAAAGCGGCTGGATCCTATGAGGATGACCACAAGCTTCACGTCCCAGGCCCAGTGGCGTGACAAACACGCTGAGCGAGTGTGCATGCATCTCCAAAATCCAAAGGGCGGGAAGGACAGGAGAGAAGGGGTGCGGCATGACCACACTCCGAGGGGTGCTCCCACCCCACATACCCATCTGTCTCCACTAAGCACACGGGCCCTGTGGCTAAATGAGGGAAACAAGGGCCGACAGGGGTATGCCCAAACCTGGCGTTTCAGATGCTTTTGCTCGAGGGCAGGTACGCTCACTAGGGCTCACGCCGGGCACATATGCAGGCGCAACCCCGAGAGGAGGATGGGGAAGGGATTACAGTGGCCATCCTCCCTGGCAGAGTGATCTCTTGCTTTTTGTCTCTCTCTCTCTCTCCAGCGAGGTCACACTCCCTACAACAAAAATCTCTCTCTTAAAAAAAATAACAAAATCACCCCCCAGAGGGGGCTGCCATGCCGCAACCCCTTCTCCTCTTCTTAGGGTTTTGGACACGCATGCACATGCACCCGGCGTGAGTTTCAAGCCACTGGCTGTGGAACTTGAACCGCAGTCAACCACGTGGGAAGCCAGCAACTTAATCTCTATGCCACCTGCTGGCCCTGTGGCAAACACCTTTAAAATAAAAAAGGGAACAGGGTACCCCTGTGGGGAAGCCTGGCAGCTCTTGAAAACTTCAAGAGTGGGTCCAGCAGTTGGTGCAATGGCTATGTCGCTGGACTCCCATGTAGTTGACCAGAGTTCAAGTCCCGGACCGGGTGGCTTAAACTCATGCCAGGCGCATGTGTGTGCATGCCCAAGATCCTGAGAGGAAAATGGAGGAGAAGGGATTGCAAAAACTTCTCAAAAAAGAAAAAAAAAGTCAGAGATTGAACACACGAACCGGCACTTCTACTCCTAGGACTCCCGACAAAGGCAGGTGGCCACCCATGAGAACATGCCCAATGGTGCTGCTCAGCCAAAGGTGGGCCGGTCCCACAGTCCACCGCCAGACAGAGGTGTCATGGCTGTCATGGCCCAGTGCCCAGCACGGCTGCCAGTACGGGGAGCAAGCACTGGCACACGCCTCAGCACAGCCGAGCTAGACACGGGCGCTCAGCGAGGGAGCCCGCCCACGGCGATGTCCAGGCGTGGTCCGCAGGGCAGAGGGCTGGGTGCGGGGGAGGGCGACCTGGAGCGCTAGAATGGACGTGGTGGCAGCCGCGTGGCTCCATGAACACGGAGCGCCATGAACTGCTCACCGCAGCGGGGTAAGTTGAATGGAAAGCGAACCAGGCCAAGGCCGCCGTTAAACACACTGTGATGACGAGGGCGGAGCTGATGGTGGCCTCTCCCTCCTCAGCCGCTGCGCGAGGTGAGGGCAGTGGGCCGGGGTCAGGAGTGAGTCCACACTGGCCGGCTCTGGGCTCGCCCACTGCCCCTCGTGGCCTCCTGCCCAGTCCCTGCTGTGACCTCAGGGAGAGCCCGGCCTCCTAGAGATGCATCGCGGACAGCAAATGGCAGAGGAGCTGGCGCCATGCCCTCCGAGAGGCGGCCCAGGGCCTTGTGCAGAGCGCCCACCTGCAGGATGACCAGGAGCCCGAGGACTGCAGTCTTCACGTCCTCCAAGGAGGTCGAGTAGGTGGCCCTGGCCCCTTCTTCCAGGTCAGGGGGTGGAGAGAGCGAGCGGGCCATCACCTTAGAGAGAGTGGTCTGTAAGTCACGGCGTGCGGCTCCCAGCAGCAGAGGTCAGGCCTGCCAAGGCCACGGGACCTTTGTGTCTCAGAGAAGAGGGGCACTCCACACGCCCGGTGCCCCTCAAGCCAAGACGTGCTTCCAGGCCGAAAGGCACCGACGCGGCCATGCAGCGCGGCCAGGGCCCCGGCCCACCTCGGCTCCTGAGCACGAGTCACAGGAGGCCCAGCCAAGCTCCCCGGGACCTGCGCCAGGACACCTCCGACACCACCCACCCTGCTGCAAGGAAAGGCCACCCAGTGCCTGTGCTGGGAATGGGAGGGTCCAGAGACGCTTCTGCTCACAGGACTTTGCCAGAGGGCTCCAGACACCTGGCCCCAAGCAGCTCACCTTCTCGATGATGTCCAGCAGGCTGTTGAAGTGGTGAGTGTGACAGCCCTCTGCCAGGTCCACCAGCAACTGGGTGGCCAGCTTTCGGACCTGGGGGTCCTTATCCTCGGGGATGTGGGAGAGCTGTGAGATGACCACCGAGTTGATCAGCTCCTCCTGTGTGGGGCACAAGGGACAGAGCTGAGCTACCAGCCTGACAGAGGTGTCGTACAGCTCCAGTGTCACTTAGCTCTTGGAAAAGCCAGGGGGATGTGGCCCTGCACCACCCAGAGGCCAGGCTGCTCCCCGAGCACCTGCCCAGCCGCAGCTCAGCAACACGAACACCACAGACCGGGCCCAGTGCTCACGCACCAAAGCAACACCCCTACTGCTTGTCACGCAGGGTCTTGAGGACACCTCCTGTGTGGTGGCCTCGCACACTGGGGAGGGGGCGACCTGGTGACACGGGAGCTACTGGACTGGGGCCTTCAGAGAGAGGGAAGGGCTCCAAGGAATGGAGAAAAGCAGGGTTGTCCGGGCACAGGAGACCGAGGCTGAGGGCAGGCGGTCTCAGGGCGCTGCCACCACAAGGCCGCCACGAGTGTGGAGAAGGCAGGCCTGGGGCTGCGGCACAGCCCTGGGAGCAAGGGCAACAGGTGGACACACGCTGGCGTCTCGGGGCTGTTCTCAGGGACCCTGTGGCTCCGCCCTCAGGAACAATGGAGCGCAAGGGACAGGAAGTGGCAGCACAGGTGTGGGACGTGGAAGGTGGTAACGCACAAGGCAACGCTCCCAGAGGCCACTGGCTCAGACCAGGCCTAGAGGCTCCAGGGTCCGCCCTGGGCTGCGCCCTCCTCCCTCCTCAGTCACCTCCCAGGCCCGGTGCAGGCCCAGCCAGGGCACCCCAGGAGGAACGGGCAAACCAGGAGTGACGGAGCGGCTGAAGGCTGCCCAGGGCACAGTCTGACCAGGAAGGCTGAGGTCCACGCAGCACACAGCAGGGGACAGCCCGGAGCCCCGGCCACCCAGACGCACCTCGTAGAACTGTCTGTTGATGAGCAGCACGAAGGACAGGACGTCCAGCACCTTGATGCGCACGGCACTGCGCGGCTCGCTCCTGCAAGGGTGGGCTGCTGGGCTACGCGGGCACGTCTGCCCCGGCTCCCTGCACAGCCCCACGGTGCTGGTGGGCACCCAGCTCGGCACCACCCAAATGCAGGCAAAGGGGCCAAGAAGCTTGAGAAGAGCGGCCCCGCCTCGTCAGAGGACCCTCCAGCACAC